TGTGTGTGTGTGTATGTGTGTGTGTGTGTGTGTGTGTGTGTGTGTTTGTTGATGATCCGAGGTCATTTGAGGTCACACTGGTTCAAAGCAACAACAAAACAAAATCCTGATCCTTCGTTCGGCCTCGGTTACGAATTTAAAAAGTCAACACCAAAGTGAAAGTCTCCAACTGTTCACCAAGAAACACCTTCCACTGCAAAGACCAAGACGTGATGTTTGTGTAAAACCACAAGAACAAGAAAGTGCAGCTCAGTCTGTTTGTCTTCTGCTCCTCTACATTAACAAACAGGATCTTGTTTTGTTGTTGCTCCACATACAAAATGTTCTCTGTAAACTCAGGATGATTTAGTCAGACAAATGTTTCCTTTTTGGTTCTTCCTGTGGATCAATCCTGCCCATCACCTTCACCTTTCACTATTTTTCAATTCCGTTGGGAGGAGAAACAGTTTGAACGGAGGTTTGAGTCACACACATCTGATTCACTTTTGCATTTATGAAGTTCACAAACAAATTTCTTGAGTCATTTTCCGCTGTTTGGATCCAACAACCACAACAATTAACGATGTCCGAATCCCAAAACTAAAATACGACAATATCAGAACCAGAAACAAAAGTGATATGGTTCAAAAGACTTGAAAAGATCGACTTTGTCAATAGACACATCCCACTGGGAAAACAAACGTGGAAGTTTGATGTTCACTTTTTCAGAAAATCCTTCCCAGTGTGAATTACGCGATGACCAGAAGTCATCCGAGATTTGTGATTCATGTATTGTCTCCTTTCCCTCCAGGGACCAGCAGCTTTCAATTAAAGTGCTACTGTGCCTCAGGATTAAAAAGTGGTAAAAGGAAGGACAATTAATATATTTTTTTAACAATTGTGTGCAATTTCTTTTGTCATATGTGTAAATATGTTGAAAGTGCAGTGTGTGATCAAAGTGCAGTGTTTTAAAATGTCCTAGTGAAGGGTGAAGGTGCTGAGTGGACTCACAGGCAACAAACCACCAGCCTGTTTGTTACACAGAAGCAGTGTTCAGTTTGTTTCTGAGTTTGTCTTTATTTGTGAAAATGTCACGTGTCAGAGCTGCTGTACATCACAGACCCACATGCACATCGTGATAAGACGACCTCAACAAATCTCTTCCCAGTGCAGAGGGAATGAAGAAGTTTTTATGTATCAAGTGTTTTTCACACACATTTGTCACAAAGACGATTTCCAGAACATTCTTCTTTCACTCTAGACTCTGTGGTGTCAACTGTTACTGTAGCCACAGCTGCCCTGGGACAGACTGACAGAAGTGAGACTGACAATCTGCACCAACCACCACCAACACTCACACACTCCACTTTCACACTCCACAACGTGGGTGAAGTGTCTTGCCTAAGGACACAACAACAGTTTATTTTGTTCTGGCGTCTCCTGTGGCTCCTGATGTTCCCAGTGTCTCCATCCAAGTCCAGACCAGACTCTGACCAGACTCTGACCAGACTCTGACCAGAGCTTCTGATCTGACAGGATCAGGCTTTGACAAACCGATATGACCACACAAAAATAAATACATTAATAAATAAATACTTAAATTAATTAATTAATTGAAATATATTGAACTAAAACCAAGACTAAAAATAAGTTATTAACGTTTAGATCTTGATTTACGGACGAAAAAGTGAAATAAAAAACTGCAGGATCCTGTCGAGCGTTTTTTTTTTTTTTTTTTTTACTTTTTATTTTCTTCTTCAAAGCACTGACTGAACCAGGACTTTGACAAACCGGTATGAAATAATGATCTGTAAAGAGTCTTTGAGTGTCCAGAAAAGAGCTGTATAAAACTGATGCATTTTATTTTAGTTTTTTATTTAAGAATTTATTTATTTTATATTTTTAATTTTATTTTTATTTATTAATTATTTTATTTATTTAATTTTTACTTTATTTATATTATTTATTTATTTAATTTTTACTTTATTTATATTATTTATTTATTTTATTTTTACTTTATTTTTATTTATTTGTTTATTTATTTATATATTAACATTTTGGGGACATCCTGTATTAAAAAACACATTGAATTTGAAGGTGTGTTCAGACTTTTGACTGGTCGTGTGTTTGTTTTACTGCAGAAATAATATTGTACAAATCTAATAATCAAAAGTCAGTGGTGTTGTCTTCGTGGCTGCTGGTCTCTGTGTTCTCCACTAGAGGGCGTGGCAGACTCAGAATGTGGTTTTTGTTTTGTTTTGGTTTTGACTTTTGTTCAACAGATTTATCTTCACTCATCTTCTAGTTTAGGAAACTCCAGCTGTGAAATGTTGTAAGTAAAATAAACTCTGGGCTACAGGAGTCTGGACTAAGTCTTTAGATCCAGAGGTTTGTACAGAAGAAAGTTTAATGATGATTGGGTTGTGTGTGTGTATAAGTGTGTGTGTTTATAACAAACACAAATAAATATATACAAATGATCAGGACTGTACACACACAGAATTATAATTAACAATGTAAATCAACATATCCACAGAATAATCCCTACTAATGACACTGTTTGAAGAGTGAAAAGTCTTGGCCTAAAAGTGCACAACAGATTCAGTTACAATTTAAGTCCAACAGGGGGCGTCAGAGACAAACTCATGAATAACACTCTGTACTTGAACTAAATGAACAGTTCAAGTACAGAGTGTGTTTAATGGTGCATTTTAATTATATTTGGAAAATGGAAAAACTTCTGAATCCAAATACAAGCACTTTGAACAGGTAAGAGTTCGTTTGAGCAAATAAGCACATTTCTTATTTATTTATTTTTGCCCTCATTCTTATTCCCTAATTTATTTTTGAGTTGTTTGTCAAGGGCTGAGCATGGATATATTAAAATAAGATAAAATAGGCTGAAAATATAAATTAGTTACGCCCCACCTCTGTTTCTAACGTCACACACCAGAATAACCAAAACTATCCCCACCAAATCCAACCCCCACGGAAATAAACCGGTATAAACCTCCACGGTATAAATCAAACATCCACGGTATAAATCAAACCACGGTATAAATCAAACCTCCACGGTATAAATCCAGCTACGAGGCTATAAAACCCTACAAAGGAGCGCACGGACAGAACAGCTCCGCACTGTTCCACGTCTGTGAGGAATTTATCCACTTCATCTTTTCTCTGTGTGTGGATCGTGAGTGGATCTGAGTCTTTGGTCTGAGGTAAGAGCAGAAAATATTTACACTTTATTCATTTTAACAGATCAAACTTTGCAGTGATCTACAGTCACCTGTAGATTTATAAACACATTTAATCTCAACTAAAACATTTCTGGATTTGCAAACACCTTGAAGATGGTCTGGAAATGGACTAAACCAGGTGGACTAAACTTGGATAAACTACTGACTAAAACCAGGAAAAACTAAACAGGACTAAAACTTGGACTAAACCAGGACTAAACTTGGACTAAACAGGACTAACAGGACAGGAACTAAACTTGGACTAAACCAGGACTAAAACCCTGGACTAAACCAGGACTAAAACAGGACTAAACAAGACTAAAACAAAAGACTAAAGACTAAACAGGACTAAACCGGACTAAACCAAGGACTAAACTTGGACTAACCAGGACTGGACTAAACCAGGACTAAACCAGGATTTAACCATTAGGCGCTGACTGTGATTGGTTGATGATTTTGCATCATTTTGAAAAAAAAAAAAAAATCAAATATAACAGATTTTCACTGAGCTGGAACCTTTATTTTTGTACTGACAGTAAGTTTGTTTTTTTTTTTTATAAATAAGTTGGGTGTAAATAGCATTTTTGTCTAGGAACACCCGGATGTAAATAGCAACAATGTCTATTTACCCTGTGTGTGAATAACATTGATAGAAATTTACCCCCTGAGCGGAAACAGCATCTGCTTCAATTTATCCTGTTAAAGGCGGGACTTGACACGCGGTTGGTACGTTGTTACGTCACCACGGACTAAGCTATAAAAGAGCGAGCGAGATCTTTTTCTCTGTGTGTGGATCGTGTCTGTGCGTCTGAGTCTTTGGTCTGAGGTAAGAGAAGAAAATATTTACACTTTATTCATTTTAACAGATCAAACTTGCATTGTCCTCGTAAAACTAACCTA